ACACGATTTATAACAAATGAAACAGCTCAACGAGGAGAACCTATGGTCCGAGTTTAACGAATATCAAAAATCCTCGAAGCTATGCGGGATTTTAAAAAAATTATAACTTTCAAATAATTTAAAAATGTTAAATATGGGTAAAGAAATGGGGCTATGGTCCTTAAAAAATATACCTAGGATGCTCATAGAAAGAACAATCGAATCCAGCCTGTGCGGTGGACCAAGGTGGCATGGGATTCGAGTTATTTCTGGGGAAGCCCTGTAGGGGGGAGGGGGGAAATTCCACTTAAAGCTCGCGCTAATACGAAAATATGGCGAACCTCCAAAAATCAAGTTCCTAGCTCTCAATTTCGTAGGGGTGGTGAAATTTTTTCCAGTCCCCGTAGGATGAACATGGGAGCATAACATTTTAGTGCGTAAACCCTCCCCATGCCTACACAATGGGAATAAAGCAGATGACTAGATGGGTCTTGATGAGGGGAACACTTGGTTCAAATCTCAAGTCCGAGACTCGAACAGGAATTTAATTGTGAATTTAAACAAATTTAAAACGTTTAAGACAGTTAAAAACTATAGAAGAAATAGCCCTATGAGCATGAAATTATACTAACTGGAAGAGCAGATTGAGAAGGATTGAATGAGCTAGGTCCTAATGGACTAGGAGACTTGGGTGCCGAGATATTGGCCAAAAAGCTGTAGAGGGGAAAATGCACAGGGGGGATGCGTCCCAACAGATATGGTTTATAACAATAGTTATTATAATCTCCCAAATATCAGTCCCATAGCACCAAAATTGGCATGTTAAAATATTAGACAACGGTGTGCGCGCGCGTATCGTTGTCGTGAAGGTATGCTCACGCATCCGTGACGGTGTGAGCGCGCATTGTAAAAATTTACCCTCATCAATTTCCCTAACGCCCAAAAACAAGGATAACTTCAAATATAAATATACGAATGCAAAAGGTTCTTATAATTTGCTACAATGTAATAAATGTGTTTATGTTCATCGCAATACGTTTGTAGTAAATACTCCTATAATCATATACTTGCAATTGTTATTTAAATAGGAAAACTAATATTTACTCTTAAGTTTTATGTACATGAAACACAATTTAAAGATTAATTTACAAATTTTTTTTAATTTCCTGTAAGTATGTTTGGTTTAATAACAAAATGTGTTCAAACAAATGTATCAGAGAAGCTCCGTAGGTGAAGGACGATCTCTCCCTACTAGTACTGAAGTCACAAATCAGCGCAAAGCAAATGTTCGCAGACACGGAGGATATAGCTCAGTGGTAGAGCATTCGACTGCTAATCGAATGTTTCCGATTTAAACTCGGGTGTCCTCTTCTTCAGGGAAGTGAAGAGAAATATGTTTTTGAGAATTTCGAAGGCTGAAATGATCTGTCCCGTTCTGTATATTTCTAGACAAAGCATTTTTGTATCCGTTCCTACGGAAAGCAAAGGCTCGTGGTCACGGTGGTATAGCTCAGTGGTAGAGCATTCGATTGCAGATCGAGAGATCCTTGGTTCTAACCCAGGAGACCCCTTCTTTAAGGAAGTGAAGAGAAATTTTTTTTGAGAAATTTGAAGGCAGGAATGATCTTTCCTGTTCTAAATATTTCTAATTAAAGCATTTTCGTATCCGTTCCTACGGAACGCAAAGCAAACGTTAGCTGACGTGGAGGTATAGCTCAGTGGTAGAGCATTCGATTGCAGATCCAGAGGTCCCCAGTTCAAACCCTGGTGTCCCCTTCTTCTGGGAAGTAAAGAGAAATATTTTCCCGAGAATTTCGAAGGCTTCAATGATCTCTGCCGTTCTGTATATTTCTAGACAAAGCACATTTTCGCATCCGAGACGGTTTTGAGTCACATCCGTGACGGTGTGCGCGCGCATCGTAAAAATTCACCCTCATCATATTTCTTTAACGCCTCAAAAGAAGTATAACTTCAAAAAACCTTCTCCTAATAATATTTTTTCAAAAATATATTTTTTCAAAAAAATACTTCATGATAGTGAAGTCCAAAAAATCTAAAGAACTGAAAGAGATAAATTGCTTTCATTTTTTCATTGATAAAAAATAAGATAATAAAATTCAAACAATGTTGCAGATAAACATGATTTTACATGAATATTCTTAACACTAGATGTAGTACAGCAAAAAATATCTATAGGTATGGATTACAGTTACATAAAATCGAGAGCTAAATTTTTTAAAAAAATTAATAGAAAAGGGGCTTTTACCAGAGGCTCTAATAATCCTCCTAATTTGACTCACATACTATCACGGAATTTAGCACGTTTTGTAAAACACACTTATGCTTGATATAATTTCATATTTCGCAAAACAATTTATAGACATACAATGCTTGAATAAAATCATATAGCGGTAGAAAAATTTTGCAAAATAATGTATAATTCATAAGATATGAGTACAGTAAATTACATACATGAATCGCAGGTTAATTAAATTTTTAGTTTTTATTATTAACAAAATTTACTTAATTTGTGTGTATCTTAAAACTTATCTATATTAAGGAAAACTTCTCAATTTAAAATGAATTTCATTAAGAACTATGGATTCCTTTAGTGAAAAGCAAATCACACTTTTAAGAAGCATACTAGAGATTAATGAGTTTATTGTGATGACAAAATATTCAGTCCCATTTTGGAGAAAAAGATTCTTCTACAGATGGGTTATTTCCGGCTGTGATATGTGATAAGTAACTGTCCTACCGAAGATATCCCAAATATAGTCGATTAGGTTTAAATCCTTGGAATATGTTGATCAATCCATTTGAAAGATTACTTCAAAAAGAAATCAATCAGTTTCTGAACAAGATGTGTCATTATTATTAAGGAAGAAAGTGCATCGCTGTAGAATATAGTATATAAGGAGCCATAATATTTTGAAGATCTCATCCTTATATCACGGGGTCTCAGGGGTGTTAAATTTCTCTTGAGGGCTGAAAATATAAACGATTTTCAAACAGTTATAATTCTTTTAAATTTAAATTAAATAATTCAAATCTTTTACACATTATTTACAAAGGATTGTGGTTTGAAAAAAGTACAAAATGTTTCAAATACAATCATAATTTTAAAAATTATAAGCATATGAGAAAAAGAAATAATTCTGTAAGTAATTTTGCGTTGCACACGCTATTTTCTAAAATAGTAGCCTCTGATGTATAAAACTTTACAGTATTATAAAATGTTTTATACTCTATAAATCCTACATCATTTAAGAACAATATATCTTTTGTATTTCAAAATATTTGAAAAATATTGAAATTTTTAAAAAAGAATTTGAAAATGTAATTTTATTATATTTGAAAAAATATAATTTATTATTCGATTTATATAAAACTACTACAGTATAATAAGCATACATTTAACTTTATAAATCAACTTATAGCTAGTAATTAAAGCTTTTATTTTAGAAAATAGCATGCGCAACGTAAAACTTAATTAATATTTCTTTTAGAAATGTTTCTTATTTTCGTATGCTTATAATGTTTAAGATTATGATTATATTTAAAACATTTTACACTTTTCTGAAGCCCCATTCCTTTATAAACAATGTGTAAAAGATTCGACTTATTTGATTGAAATTTAAAAAAAAATTGTACCTGTTTGAAAGTTGTTTATATTTTCAGCCCTCTAGAGAAACTTAACACCCCTGAGACACCTTAACCCAACGTTTCTCAAACTGTGGGGCGCGCCCCCTTAGGGGGCGTGATAAACCATCGAGGGGGAGCGAGCCTATCCAAACGTTGAAAATAAAACATAATTTATTAATTTATTGAAAGGAAGCAAAACAAAATACACATTCCGACATAATAAAAAATAAAATACACATTTACACCGATATAATATATTTATAAATGTATCATTACTGCACATTGTATTTGGTAATTAATTTAACAATACTAAGCTAAGTACAAGTTTAACAATTACCAGTGACTCCATGGGCTTGTCATATATCAAATTATTTAAAAAATGTAACTCTTATTTTGATAATTTGTACGGTTTGTAATTAAATTTATACTGTAGAATTACGTCAAGAAGTACATTATTATTAATGAATTCAATACATTGTTATTGTTTGGAAGGGGGAGGGGGGCGCGAAGAAAATTATGACTTAAAATTGGGTCGCAAGTATCGAAAGTTTGAAAAGCACTGCCTTAACCAATAATGATAAGTTCCTGATGATATAAAGTTCTATAAAATCACATTGATAATGATACTGAATTACACCATCACTCTATCTTCCCCAAACGAGATACATTAATATTCAAATGCACACACCACTTTAACAATTTTGCTTAAGTTGTGCACTGGAGTGTGATCCGACCGTGTAGATAACTGTACTTCTGTACTTGAAGATCCCAGCTTTGCAATTTTTCATGTATCTCGTACTCTTTCTGAGATAAGAGCGCTAACTCTAAATTTATCTTCTTTCTAAATTTTTTGTGTAACGCATGACCACTTTACTATACGTAGACCTTACTTTTATGACTATAGCTCTTGCCGTTCATAAATTAGTGGGGTGCAAACGCACTTCAGAGGGAACACACTATATTTAGAGGTATTTTTCAATTCCTATACAATCAGTTCACACTTACCCTATACATATTTATATATCTTGTTCAATTTTCAATCGTTAATAAAATGCTTCTTAGTCATCCACTCAAATTCAAATATATTTTTTTTAAACTTGTAGCGGATGAGACTTGATGTTAATACAGTTTTTTCAGATATTAATTCATTAACTGAATTTAACTAATTAATTTTAGTTTTATATATAATATATTAGCTGGAAAGTATTTATTTTACGGATTCTTTTTTCATTCTGGGTTCTAACCTGAGTCAAGAAGGGAACAAAATGGAAAATGAAACATGTGAAAGGAAAATTTTTGCCACTTAATATTGTGATTCTGTCAGATGTATATACATATTTATATTAATTGTAATTATTTAATAAAATGTAACTAAAACAAAATTTTCCTTTGTTAATTTAAGTACAAATTGACTATATATATATATATATATGAATAAAGCTATTCAAAATAGTTAGGATTAAAATTCTGAGATTGTGTGATAATAGTTTATTACTATAAACTTAAATATTTCATAGTTATAGTTATCTCCATAATCTAATATTAGATAAAATTACTTATTATTATTTTATTCATATTTATTCTAGTGTTATTAAAGCTATGCTAAAATTTGCAACTCTTATTAATTTTTATTTCCATTCGTTTTATACTTTTGTTAAGTGCTACATTTCAGCCCTTCACTTGATTTAAATCTGTATTAGGGTCTAGAATCTGGCAATAACTAATTTATTGCACTCAGATTTAGCGCGGGCTTTGCATTTGTAAGTGCAATTTTTAGGTAAGTTACCTCTATCTTATAATGGATTTAGATATTCCTATTCATTATTTCCTTGGTTTTTGCTCAGTGTTATTTACAAAAAAGGGGGAAGGTTGGCTGGCCAAAAAACATGTTCAACCCCACTTTTATATAAATTATTTTATATATTAGCTGTCCTAAATCAGTAATGTTTATAACACTGCAACATCCATTTTATAATTTTTAATCTCGATTACTCATATGTCCTTCATTGTGTGATTTTCCTACTGTCTATGTGTTTTTCGAATGTTATTGTTTGGATGTTATCTCTTGTTATTTTCAGTATAACAAGTAATATAATATAATATATATATATTATATTATATTACTTGTTATACTGAAAATAACAAACTCTTTTACAATAAAACTAAATATGCTCTGTATCAAATTATAGTGTACGTTGTAGATTGTGTACTGCTTTTAGGTAGCTACTTTTTGGATTTTTGATAGCCCCCATGATTGTCTCTGTGTTTTTTTTTTTTTTTGAAAAATGCTTCATCTGCGTATAACCACTTATTTCTTCCTTGTGAAACTAAATTTCTTGAACCATGCTTATTATTTGTTTCGAAGAGTGATCTATACAAGATAATTATATATTTTACAAGACAATTAGAATGCTCGTTGTGTATCAAATAACAAAAAGTGATGAAAGGTTGATGAAAAATATATAAGACATCAACTTGGACGAGATATTAAAATCACTCCAATTCTAAGATTATAGGCGAAATAATGTCCATGCTAAACATTACCACATTCAATTAAAAAGGTAAAAAAACATTTACTGTTAGGCAGAATGTCAATATAAACCATGAATCCATGGAAACAATCTCTCATATATATGTGATGGATGTTATCCCATAACAAGACGTTCTATAATTATAGGGTCTTCCAAGTAAAATCTAAAATGCTTATATATCATTGAAAACAAGA